CAAGGATGGAGTTAAGCAGCAATGCTTGGTATAAAACTGGATACATGTGGCCTAAAGGGGGCTTGGTTGTGACTGCTTTCAGTGTGCATCCTGATCCCAGCTCAGGCAGTGTTAGTGGGAGGATGTATTGACCAATCAATTCTCTCTCCTCCCTTTCTTTTCATTTCCCTTGTAAATAAACCTTTTATTCACCTTTCTATGTGTGCCTGCCCTTGGGTCTTGATCTGAGGGGTCTTTTTAAGCACACAGATGAGGACTCACACCCCAACATCCTATTTCCCTTAGGGGTTGCCCTATAATAGAACCACTAGCTATGTAAATTATACCTCCCTTCTTTGACTTAAGCTTTCAGTGAGATTCACACGTTGTTGCACGTAGAGCAACCATTGGTTGTTATTTTCTGTGTGGTTTTCAGTTACCACACGTTTACAACAGTTTGTGGTTGATGGGCATGTGGGTGGCTTTCAATGTTGCTACAAACACAGGTCTTCTGGGGCACATGAGCAAGGATTTCCAAGGAGTCTATACCTGTAAATTGTAGTATCATAGGGCACGTGTGGGTTCAACTTTAGTAGATAACGGCCAACAGTCTTTTAAATTATGCCCATTTACATTCTCACCAATAACATGAGGATTTCAACTGCTCCGTGTCCTTACCAATATTTGGTACTGTTGATGTAGGAAAAGGGGAGGGTTCTTTGTGTTAGGGGGAAAAGGATGTCCTAAAGCTAATTCCATACAGGCTTTGTGGACTCCACCCCCACCCCAGGCCAAAGCCAAAGACACTGGGAACTCCAAATCCCATCACCACCAAAGGGAAGGTGGCTGGGACCTGAGGGTGGGGTTAAGCAGCCAGGTTGGTATAAAGCCAGACACGTGGGCTTTGGAGGGTTTCCCCCATTTTGTCTCTCCACCAGCTAGCAGCGTCCGGCCAGCTCGGAGAGTGACTTTGGGTTTCCAGGTCGTCGGATCGGGTAGGATGCATTAAAGACTTTATTTCCCTATTTTTCTCCCTGAGTTGTACATTTTCCTTATTTCCTTTTCCCTTGTAAATAAACCTTTCATTAACCTTTTGTGTGTGTGTGTAGTGGAGTATTAATAAGTCCCTTTTAAGCACGCGGGTGAGGACCGACAGCCAGGGACCCGTTCAATATTGGGGCTGTCCTATAACAGCTTGGCGCCCAACGTGATTTCCAAGTTTCACCCATTTGGATCACTTTGAGAATGAATTCAACAAGTCACCTTAACCTGTACACAGCGAGTTTATTAAGAGACACTTGCATAGACATAAGTGGGCAAAGGTTACATTTTTAAAAGATTGGGTGGCCTTTTATATTGTTCTTGGTGGAATTTCTCACTTTGGGGTTAGTTTGGTTTGCAGTAATGACTTATTTCTCTCTCCCCACTCCCCAACCTTCAGTTCCTGGCCTTGTAAAATTGGCATGGCTGGCTTAGTGACTATGTTAATCATCCCTATCCCTGCCTTGGATAGTCCAGGCAGGCAGTCTGGGTGACAACTACCTTGAGGTGTTTGACTTTCCCAGCAGGGTGTTCTCTCTAGCAATCAACCTATCAACCCCAAAGGGTCACAGAGAATTTTATTAGGGATGTAAAACAAGTTTTCAAGGTCTCAGGAATACAGGTGGAGCCAGTGAGTGGTTAATCAGTAGGAGGGGGGAAGAAGGAGTGCAATTCAGTGGTTAGTGTCTTATTCCTACACTTGATCTTAGCCAAAAGGCCGAGAAGCGATAGTGTGTGTCTTATTCCTAAATGGTTTAGTCAAGGGGAGTTTCTGCTGCAAAATGGAGGGAATCCTACTACTGTGATTAATCTCAAATTTAACCATTTTGGTGGGTGTGCAGTGGTTTGGCAATGTGGTTTGAATTTGCGTGTCCTGAGGAATAGAGGAGGTTGACCACCTTTTCACATTTGTTGGACATTGGATACCCTTTTGTGAAATTAAGTCTCTTGTCCACTTTTGTGTTATCCTTTTCTTATTGTTTTGTATTGTAGGCACGCTGTAGGGTAAATAAAAAGTATCAGGCTTTTCTGCCCTCCCTCCATTAGGATTAATGATGGATCTGTGGTCCTGAATGCATGCCTAATGGCAGGCACCTGGAGTAGGGTGTGGGCATATGTAGATGGGATTCACCTGGGCTAAGACTGGGCTTATAAGGGTGGTATCTCGGGGATGCCAGTAGAACCATGAGAGAAGCAGAGAGAATGGGAGAGAAGGCCAGAAAGCCCAGAAAGAGTGAAGTCCTTTCAGGGGCTGGGAGGTCTGCCAGCCTCCCAGTCCCCTGGTACCTCTGCCTGCTGTGTACCCAGTAAAATCCCAATATAAGCCTGAAAAGCCACCGAGGGCTCCAGGACTCTCTTCTCCTTACCCCATCTGCTCAGATCATAGAAAACCTGCTCTGGCCCTTCCTGCCCCTACACATGCTTTCATATTTTAGCTATATGCATTATTTTTACATGTTATGGTTTGTTCATTGATTTTTATTTTTTGATGAATAGAAGGTCTTAATTTAAAGGTGCTCCTCTCTCTTGATTGCCTTCTTCTCTTGGATCTTGGTCCTCCTTACTGCCTTGTAGTTCCCCAGTGACTTTAAAAAGATTTAAAAAAGTTTCTCCAGGTATTCACAATGGAAGAACAGGACAGAACTCCCTCAGGCAATTGCCACTAATTTGTCTAGTTCTTTCTTCTCAAATTTCCATATTTCTAAATAGGCACTGTGAATGCTGTTTCTTGATTTAACATTCTAGGCATTTTATGATTTTATATTGTGGTAGATGAGCATTTATCTAACATATACATGTACTTCCCATTCTATCATCTCAATAGTTAATCATTGCAAACTTTCAGCCACATTTACTTACATTATATCAAGACTAAGATATTATTCACTGAAGATTCATGTGGTTGACAAGAAATTTCAAAGTCATTTGTATTTAGGGTGATGAGTGGGATTCTTTTTGAAGGTTGTAGCAGCTCCAACAGTATTCTAGATTTTCCAATATAGTCTCCATTTCAACTACAGCAAGCTCTTGCCATTCTTAAATGGAATTGTCATAGTCCCTCCTTTTCAGGAGTGACCTTATAGCACCATGCTATATGGAGTTTATCATTAAACTGAGGCCTGACTTTGAACTGCTGATAACTAGAATGCAGCACCCACACCCCAATACAGCACTGCCAGTCTTTTCCCTTGTCATCTATGCTGCAATTCTTGTGAAGAGGTACTTGGGAAAGTGGCCTTGAAAAGAAGTCCAACTGCTGGGCCTGGAGATGAAGAGAAGACAAATGAAAGAAATTTGAGAAAGTTTGGGTCGTGCTAGAAATGTTTTGGGAAAGATTAGAGTGGCAACAGCAGCGGAGAGTTGTGATGGACAGGTCCCCCCATAAACTGTATGGACATGTCAAAAGTTGCTTTATAAGTATGTTTCATTAGGAAAATTCCCACTGTGTTTTTTAAATAAGCGCTAAGAAAAGGCTGTGGGTTGACTCTCCTCATTTGTCAAGAGTTACTTATATTCCAACTTGTTCCTATCAATGCACCTGGAACACCTGCTCTTAAAGGAGTTTTCCATGGGAGACTTTGCCAGTGTCCCATGTTTCTGCACCCTGGGGAGAACCTCAGCTACCCCCCCAGGTGGGTAGGAGGGCAACACTGAAACAAAGTGGCTTTCAACAGTCTTTGGAGCTGTGGTTATAAGGTTACTGATACTTTGTTGCTGTTTTGTTTTCCCCTATGTCTTAGCATGATGTTGAAGAGCACCTTCCTCACCCTGTTTTCCTTCCCCACCCCACTCCCATGCTCCCTACCCAGGATCTCCATGCCATGCTCTGTGGTTTGAAATGAAGTCCAGTGGGTTTTCTAGAGCCTGTGGTCTCCTACCTTTCAGCCTCCCACTCAGCAGCAGGCCCCAGCCGCAGTCCTCCAGGTTCCCCACAGGGGCATCCACTAGCAGCAGGCATTGACACAAGAGAGGTGTGATTCATGAAGCGCTTCATACACTCACCAGGTATTTATTAAGCACATCCTGTGGCCAGGCACTGTACCAGGCTTAGGAATAAAAGGTGAATAAGACAGGTCCCTGACAGCAGGGACTCGCAGTCTAGGTCTCTGCATATCCACACACACATCAGCACAACACAATGTCACATAACAGTGTCAGAAATCTGTAGAATTACAAGGAAAGGGCGGTTGTGTTGAGGAGTTTGCCAGGCAGATGGAGGTGGTACAGGGAGAAGGAATTGGAGGGGGAGGCAGAAGCATGGACACATGTGGGTGGGAAACTCTCACATGATTCCCAAACCATATGTGATCTGTTATACCCAATAAGGGTGGCTTACACCACAGAGCTGAGTCCAGGGGGGTGGGCAGCCAGATGGCTCACAACTCTCAGGAAGTTGTAAGTGCTTATTTTAAAAGAAAAAATTCTAAGAGTTTACACAAAGGGGTTTTGGGTTGGGGGTTAGGCTTGGAAGAACATGGGGTAGAGGTGAATGTGCAGCTATAGGAGAAGATTCCAGAAGGAAAGGGTTCTGTGTGTGTGTGTGTGTTTGTGTGTGTGTGCGTGCATAGGCACTGTGCCCAAGCACAATGCCAATGTTCTCACACACAGGCAGTATTATAGAATAAAGAACAATGGGTGCAAGGAAAGCTCAGTCTCATGAATCAGAGTGGGCCTAAGAAGTTGGGTAAGAGCAGACAGTGTGTATGTAGGTGTGTGTACTACTGTGTGCGAGTGTGTGTGAGGGGTGTGTGTGGGAGCAGTTAGGATTTGAGACCCAGCAAGCAGAAAGGAGTGACATTTTGGGTATTGCATCCCAGGCCGAGGTGTAGCCCTCATTGTGAGGCAGCAGGGCCCTATGGATTTGGGGGAGGCCATATATGAAACCATGGGGCAATTTTGGCATACCTTCCTTGTTTGAAATTCTCTTATACTTTTACAGAAAACATTTCCATATTAAAATAAAAACAAAGAAATAGGATGCAAAATACATGTAGTTTTATTTTTAAGATAAAAAATACAACTTCAAAGAAATTATGACAGCTTCCAGAAGGCCCCTGGTATGTGTACCTCCTGGTGGCCACTGGATGACTAAGGAAAAGACCTGAGAAACCCTGAGATCCTTAGTCAATTTAATTTTCACAGCGACTGCATGAGGTAGAGATCATCGTGTCTGCAGTGAAGACTGAGGCACAGTGAGGGTGTGTGTAAGAGGCTCAAGGTCACACAGCTAAAAAGCAGCAGGATAAGAACTCAAACTAGCATCTGTCCTAGCTTTACCCACAATAGCCTGAGTGGTTGATACACAAGGAATGAAAGGAAATAAAGCTGAACTACATTGGTGTTAAATCATGGAGGGTCTTGAATGCCAGCTTGAAATAAAAGTTCTGTGTATGAAACGACATTGGTGACCTAGCAGGATGAGACATGGTGGAACTGACAGAAGAGCAGGAAGAGCTGCACGGCCAGAAGAGATCTAGTTGTTCTCATCCTGGCTCCTTTGGGGCCACATCTTGACCTTGGGACTGAGCCCTGCACCCAATGATTGTCTCCATGGTGGAAGTAGGAAACATCCCTCTTTTTCTGTTCACTTTCTTAGCGTTATTCTACCAAGCAGAGAGCTCAGAATCTTTGGCCAGCCCCTTCTAAATCTGGAGGGTTGGCCATCTGGAACTGCTCTCAAGGTGCCCTTCCCAGGAGAGGGATCAATGAACAGGAGTCAGTGCAGCAGGAGAGAACAGTATTATTCGGTCTGAAAGGAAATCAATGGAGAGTGGGAACCTCTGGAAGCACCTGCAATTTTCTAGATCTATTACTTGCAATTTGGCAGTCAGTGAGAAAAAAACACTGTGTTACTATGAAAAATCAAGAGATTTATGTTGTTTTCATCAAGAAAATAAAACTCTGGGAAACACCCAAAATGGTAACTTAGAGCAAGTCCCAAGTGAAAGAGTTATTTATGGCATGAGGGAAGCTGAAAACTGTGCCTTTGATTAGGAGATGGTGGTGACAGTTTGCAATGGGACATTATCATCTTTCTCCCTTCCCTTTTCTTTCCTCAGTATGTGTTGAGAGAGTTTATTGAGAAAAAAGTCAACATCCTGGAGATCCTCAGGCCACCTCAAGTACTGCTGCCTCTGTGCAAATTCTCGGATGGACGGATGCTTCATCAGCTGGTACTGGGACAGGGACCCCACCACCACCATGATGAGGGCGCTGCTGAGGTCTGACACACACCTGCTCTGGGCATAAGTGAAGGCTTCAAGGCACCACCCATCTCGAAGGAAGTGTCTGCTCACAATGCAGATGATCTTTCTGCTGTGCCACACGGCATTCTGGATGTTGGCAATGTGGTTCTGTCCTGGGACAAAGTCTCTTTCTTCAAAGCACAGGTTAAATCTGTTGTGGTCGTCGTACTGAGTATCCAGGTGTTTTAGCAAAGCGTTCTGCACCCATTCGAAGTCTTTGCTACTGAAGCACAAATAGGCATCATATTGGTACATGTCAGATGCTCTCCTCTGGGTCTGGTCCTTGAGCACCAGTCTCTGGACTGTCTTACAGCAGATGAAACAAAACCCCCGGAACTTTATGACTGTCAGGGTGGCCACAAGGAACACTGTCAATGTGGCAGTGAGGAATAAGAAAAGGGAAAATCTTAGGGCCTTTAAGAATTTCTCTTCATCACAATCTTCCGTGGAAACAGCATAGAGGGATGCCCCAGAGAGCGAGCTGGGGTACGTGCAGGATAGGTCTTCAGGAGACCCCACTAGAGTGACATTGGTTTGATTGAGCCAAATGATAAAAGCACTTAGTTCACACTCACAGATGAAGTTGTTATAAGTTATGTCCAGGAAACTAAGTGATGTAAATATATCAGGATCAGGAGACAGAAGTTGGTTTCTCGATATATCAAGGACCTCTAACTTGGCAGGTAAGTCACCAGAAGAAAGAACCGTCAGCCTGTTGGAGTTGAGGCTGAGTCCCCTTAATGCAGTCAGGTGGCTAAATACTCCTGGTGGAAGGAAATTCAGGTAGTTACTATTCAAATACAGGACTTGGAGATTGGAAAGTCCCTTAAACACATCCCAACAGAACCCAGTTTCCCAGGCAAGTTGCAACATATTTTCTCCAAGGAAAAGCTGTTCCAAGGTGAGATTCTCTGAAGGGGCAAGTTGTTGGTGACAAGAGGAAAAGCGATTCTGATTTAAAATAAGAGTCTGGAGGCCACGCACCTGGAGAAGGACATAGAGATTATCCAGATTTTCCAGCCTGTTCTCTGATAACTGGATGAAGTTGGCTGTAAACGTGACCATTGGCCAACTCACCAGTTTATTGCCACCCAGGAAGATAGTAGATATGCTTGGAAGAAAATTAATCGTTTTAAGAGCATTATCTCGGAGATCCAAGGTGCTTAATTTTCTCAGGAATCTGAATGTTCGATCCTGGATGAACCCAATGTGATTCTTCTGCAGATCAATGTAGGCTACTTGAGGTAGTCCATAGAAATTAGAATTAAAAAGTTCCCCCAGAAGGTTGTATGACATATTGAGAACTTGGAGGCTGTTGAGTCCATAAAATGCTTCACCCTCAATCTTGTTTATCTTGTTGTAGGCAAGGTTCAAAAGCTTCAACTCTTTGAGGGCCTCAAAAACTCGGGAGTTCAGGGAGAAGATAAAGCCATGTGAAAGGTCCAGGCGTATCACTGAGCTTCTGGCCAGGCCAGCAAATGTGTTCCGATTAGGATCTTTGATGTTTTGGAAGCCAAACCCAGAACCCATAATGTGGTAGGAAAGAACCAAAGAGGACACTGGGCTTCCACTGATGGCACTGCTAAAGTTTCCTGTGATGTCTACGGTCCAGGCATTGCTGGAAACATCTAGGGTTTCCAGGCTCATGTTTCTGAATGGGTTCATACATTTCCCCCAGTCCACAAAGTCTCTGTATAGGTGATTAGAAGCAAGGTTTAAAAAGTAGAGTGTTTTTCCTTGGAGAGGCCTGAGCTCATGCTCACACATGGTAGATATTTGGTTGAGAGAAAAATCAAGGGACTTCAAGGAATTCAGTTCCCCGAATGAAGGATGAAAGTAAAGGCTTTGAATCTGATTCTTGGACAGGTCCAGGTGCATCAAAGACTCCAGATTTCTGAAATAACCATCTCTTAGCAGAGCATTGGAGAAACCACAGCCAAATAACCTCAGTTCAAACAGATGGGGCAGTCCCTGAAAAGCATCTGGATGTAAGAAGTCTATCTGACTCTTGCCCAGGTCTAAAATTCTAAGATTGGGCAGGTTTCTGAAGGCTTCTTTATCAATAGTCAAGGCAGTAAACTGAGTCCCAAGTTCCAGCAGTAACAGCTGCTTCAGGAAGGGGAATGAAGTAGCTGTGACTGTCTTGATGTAGTTGAAGCTTAGCAGGAGGTTCTTAGTGGTGTTGAGGACCTGGGGGACTTGAGTGAGGTTGCAGAAACGATACAATGCTATCTGACCATTGGAGGAGCAGGGAGAAAGTCCAAGCCCATGGCTGGTCATGAGTACCACTCCTAAGAGAAGGTCAAGGTGATCCCCCATGTTCCTATGGAGAAGAAGGGAGAATGAAAATGCTGCCATCTAAGCTCAAGGTATCCCTTAGAACTTGGGAGGTTTCCTCTAGGATGTGTCTGCTCGCTTGAACCCTTTGCTCCTCTATAGTGATGTGTCTATTGACAGATATGGCCATGCAGAAAGAACTGTTCTCTATCTTTTGATTTTCTACAGAGGAGGCACTATTCTAAGCACTTTAGAAATGTTTCCTTTATAACATTCATTTATAATAACTCTGTCCATCCATTAGTTTATGCATGCATCTATTCAAGATGTGCTAAGGGAAGTTGGAGAAAACAGAAGAAAGGAACACATTTTTGCTTTACTCTATGAAAGGACCCCATTCCTAGCCCACAGAGGCCTCAGCTAGAGTGGGAAATAAATCCATGGACTTTTCTTCCCTCTAACCTGTCAAGATCACTAGTCCATCTCCATCCATCCATCTTTGCTCCATACACCACGCATCTCAGAAGAACTGGACACTTTACCTCATTTCCCACTAAGAGTCAGATTTGCTTGGTTTAAGTAAAAAATATTAAGTACCCAAGCTGATTCCATTTCAAGCCACCACCATCTCTTGACTGGGTTAGACTACAGGCTTCCGTAGTCCCTCCTATTTCCTTTTTTTTTTTTTTTAAGATTTATTTATTTTTATACAAGAACCTGGGTATAGGCCAGATGCGTGGGGGATGGGGGGATGAGAGGATTTACCAGAGACAGAGTGGGGAACAGAACAGGCAGACTGATGAAATACACTGTTGAGGGGAGCAGCGGGCGAGACAGTAGAGGTCTGCTTGCCATGTGGGATTCTCGCTGGCCAGCTGGGATAGAACCCGCGCTGAAGAGGCTGCAGACAGCTTCACAGTGCAGCACTCAACCACTTGCGCCACCAGGGAGACCCTCCTATTTCCTTTTTTTATATTAATTTTTTTCATTTTGTACATCATTATTCATTTATTTTATTTTATTTTATTTTTTAATTTTTATATGCCACATACAATTGCAACCCCCTGATTTTGACCCCAATCCCTCCTTTCTTTGCCCCCCCCCCACCAAAGTGTGTCTCTGGTTCATAGTTGTTTGTTGATTTTGATTTTTTTCTTTCTTAGTTATTCTTTTTCCTGGTCCCTTATTTAGGTTTTCTAGATTCCTGTTATGAGTGAGACCATCTGGTATTTTTCTTTTTCTTTCTGCCTTATTTCACTGAGCATGATCCCTTCTAGCTCCATCCATGTTGCTGCAAATTGCATGTGTTTATCTTTTTTGAATGCTGAGTAATATTCCATGGTGTATATGTACACCACATCTTCTTGATCCAGTCATCTATTTTTGGGCATTTGGGTTGTTTCCAAAGCTTAGCTATTGTAAACAGTGCTGCTATAAACTTAGGGGTGCAGGTGCTCTTTGGAATTAATGTTTCTGTGTCCTTTGGGTAAATACCTAGGAGTGGAATTGCTGGATCACATGGAAGCTCTATCTTTAGTAGGTTGAGGAATCTCCACACAGCTCTCCATAGTGGTTGGACCAGTTTGCCCTCCCACTAGCAATGCAGGAGAGTTCCTTTCTCTCCACATCCACGCCAAAATTTGTTGTTGCTAATTTTTTTAATATGTGCCATTCTCACTGGTGTGAGATGGTATCTCATCGTAGTTTTGATTTGCATTTCCCTGATTGCAAATGATTTTTCCATATGCCTGGTGGCCATTTGTATTTCCTCTTTGGAGAAGTTTCTTTTTAGCTCTTCTACCCATTTTTTGACTGGATTATTTTCTTTGTTGTTGTTGAGTCTCATCAGCTCTTTGCAGATTTTTGTGATCAGTCCTTTATCATTAGTGTTGTGTGCAAAAATGTTCTCCCAGTCGGTGGGGTTTCTCTTTGTTTTTGTTATTGTCTCTTTTTTTTTTTTTTTTTTTATTTTATTTTTTTTTTATTTTATTTTATTTATTTTTTTTTTTTAATTTTCTAGAGGCATGTCTTATTTATTTATCTATTTGTTTGTTTGTTTGGTTTATACATGCACTGGGTACAGTCAGAAGCCGGGAGGGTGAGAGAATTCACCAGAGCCAGAGCAGGGAGCAGAACAGGCAGAAGGACCGAAGTACACTGCTGAGGGGAGCAGCGGGCAGCAGGAGAGGTCTGCGCGCCATGTGGGACCCTCCTCCGGTGGCCGGGGAGCAGCCGGGGATGGAACCGGCGCCGCAGAGGCCGCGGGCAGCTTCGCAACCCAGCGCTCAACCACTGCGCCACCTGGGAGGTTTTTGTTATTGTCTCTTTTGCTGTGAAGAAGATCTTTAATTTGATGCAGTCCCAGCTGTTTATCATTATTGTTCATTTTGAACAATATTTGTTTCCTCCCACCCCCTCAGGTGTAGTCCCCACAGAATTTCCTTCACCAATGCACCCATGCACCATCACCTCAGTCCCCTGTGCTCCTCCCTCTCTCCCTCTGATCCCTCTCCCTCCTCTTCCCCTGCAGTTTGTCTCTGATTTATAATTGTCTGATTTTGCTTTGTTGTGTTTTGTACTGTTATTTGTTTTTTTACACTGATATCTTTTTTTGTTCCCCTATCTTCCTGCTATAAGAGAAACCATCTGATATTTTTCTTTTTCCTTCTGGCTTATTTCACTGAGCATAATTCCTTCTAGCTCCATCCACATTGCTGCCCTGGTCCCACCCTCAATTCTCTGAACAGCAGAGTGTTCTTTGGAAAATGAGATTCAGATGATATAGCTCCTCTCTGCACATAACCCGGCCACCCTTCCCTCTGCTCCTGGGATAAAATCCTGCAAGGACTTAGATTATTGGTTCTTGCCTGTCTCAACAATGTCTTAAAACATTTTCCTTCTCTATAACTAATTCAACAAGTATTTGCATTTTATACCCATTTGCCAGGTACTTTGATCCAAGTGGTTCTCAGGCCATGCTTTGAGAAACTGGTCTAAAGGACCGCTCAGAAACATCATAATTCTCCTGAAGAAGAAGATCTGGTAAGAAAATTCAGAGGCTGTTGTGTATTGGGTTTTTAGTACTAAGGCTGTGTTGACATGTATTTGGGGGTGATGGGAATGGCGCAATCAATATAGGCCTCAACACTCCTGCCCAGCCTGTTAATTAAGATAATGAGACCGGAGGGAGAAGGGCTAGTATCCCTTTCATTTGAGTTGAGTGCATTCAGCTTTAATACCAGCCATTAGCAGAGCAGATTCCATTTTTTGACCTAATTGCCTGGACAGAGCCGGCCAGCTAAGCTTAGGGGCATGTAGGGTAAAGAAAAAATGTCAGGCTTTTCTGCCCTCCCGCCATCAGGATAGATGATGGATCCTTGCAGTCCTGAATGCATGCCTGATGGCGGGCACCTGAAGTAGGGTGTGGGCATAGGTATATGGGATTCACCTGAGTTAAGACTGGGTTTTTAAGGGCGGCGTTATGGGGATGCCAGTAGAAGCCGAGGAGAAGCCGAAAGAGAAGCCAAGAGAGCAGCAGAAGCCGAGAAAGAAGCCGAGAGAAGGCCGGAGAGCCCAGAGTGAAGACCTGCTGGGGGCTAGGAGGCCTGCCAGCCTCCTGGCCTCCCAGCACCCCTGCCTGCCGTGTACCTGGTAATCCCAATAAAAACCTGCAAAACCACTGAGAACTCTGACTCCTCCTTTACCTGGTCTGCTGGATCATAGAAAACCTGCACTGTGCCCATGTCCTGCCCTTACAATTGGCGTAAGTCGGCAAGATGATCCATGCAGATGGGTATGGAGCCCTCTGAAGACCTGGAGGGACTAAGGAGTAATACACTGTGTTTGCCTGTGACGACGCTGGACGCATCATGGAGGCACAGGAGATGGACAGGAGCTACGGAACAAGACCTCAGCTGGAGGAGGAGATGCCCAAGAGGACCAGCCAACGACCCCTGAGGCAGCAAGAATCGTTAGGGAGGAGAGGACCACGATTCAGAGCTCACCAGTGCTGATGCAGGAGAGGCCGATGGACTTCGACTGATGGACTTGGACTGATGAACTTGGACTGACAATCCCGCCAGAAGGTGGAGGACCTTGGCAGGTTATGTTTTTTTGGGAATCTGGGGGTGGCCAGTGGGCCTTGATGGCCAAAAGCAGCCTGTGTATGCCCAGTAGCTAGGCAGAGGAGAAAAGCCAACTGAGAAGGCAAAAGCTGGTGCTGATGCTAAGTTTGGGAAGCCCTGAGTTAAGTACTAAGTAAGCTGAGGAAGGCCAGTGAGTCTCGTAACATCACGTGTGGGTGATGCCCTGCTTGTTCTTGAGTGAGGGTGAGGAGCTGAGGAATCTGTCCATGGGGGACGGGTGGGGACCATGGCTTGGGGTGGAGCCCAAGCCGAATGTAGAGTTTGTATCCAAGGATCCCCGACCCATGTGCATATGCAGTGGGTTGGCCTGAGTGCAGGGCTCTGCGAGTCGCATTGGTGGCTACGAAAGCCAAATGTTGGAGCGACTGCAGACAGAAACCCTGAGGGTTGGCGATTACCCCCAACAGAATAGAATCGCCAATCCCAGAGCGAGTGCATCTTGGGGGTGGATGCGGTGTGTGGCTTGTAGCCGAGACTATAGCCAGAGAAGGCCAGGAAGCTTGACGGCTCCTGGCGTGTTACAATAGATGCCGTGAGTGATTCCCCTCCCTCATATGAGCAGTGCCTTTGGCAGCAGATGTGGTGGCTCATCTTCTGGTACCAATAATTGTCTTTTGCCACTAGGTTGGGGCCCTGCCTGGACTTATTTGTGTTCTGTTGTATTTTGTTATATTGTGATGTACTTGCTTTTGTGGGCCATGGCTGCATTGTTTGTTTGCTAAGAAAATTGTATATATGAAGACTATATGTATGGCAGAAAACCCTGAGGGGGTGGACTGTAGGGTAAGGAAAAAATGTCAGGCTTTTCTGCCCTCCCGCCATCAGGATAGATGATGGATCCGTGCAGTCCTGAATGCATACCTGATGGCGGGCACCTGGAATAGGGTGTGGGCACTGGTAG